ATAGTAGTAATAATAGTAATAATAGTAGTAATAATAATAAGTATCTACTACGTACGTACGTATACGTATAAAAAAAAAAAAAAAAATGCAAGAATTGATACATTTATGGGATTCATTAAATCATATCATATGAAATCGATACAAATTGAGAAATCAAATCGAGGGATAAGAAACTAATTAACATTGTCGTCATCTGGGGTGTTTGAATTTCATTTGCTGACTGAATGCGTTTTAACGGGGTCTGCCACCGATTGATCACACGATCGTACACGGAATTATTTTCCGTATATCGCGTTTAATATCCTACATTGTTGTTTTTTTTTTCTATTGACTTGAAAAAAAAAATGCGGAAAAAAAGGCTTCCGATTACAATCGCTTGATTAAGATATTGTGATTAAAAGGTCATTGTTAAAAAAAAGAATTATTATGAACCTTTATTTAAACCTTTATTTAAACATTATCTTTATAATCGTGGAATTTTATCTTTATAATCGTGGAATTTTATCTTTATAATCTCATGGAATTTTATCTTTATAATCATGGAATTTTGATAAAGAGATAAGAACCTTTTTTTTTTATTTCATTGTGTTTATAAAAAGATTTATAACGACATACTTTATGATTTTAATAATATTACAATGATATCTTTGTAATATTTATAATATTCGTAACAGTCTTTCTTAGCATTAATAATAATAATTGTCGCAACATCGTAACACGACGGTTCCATCAAGAATTTGTACGCAGAATTTTACTCATATATGGTTACATATACTGTATCTGATGTGTATCTGATACATTTTGTATTATACTGTATCTGTTACAGCATCATCTAACATCCAATATTATTCAATATTATTCAATATTATTCAATATTATCCAATATTTAAAATATATTGTATCTGGTACAAAATTTAATATATTGTAGATGATACTACTTAGACATATCTTAGACATATCTTAGACATATCATTAAATACGCCACTTAATACATCATTTAATACACCACTTTAATACGTACGTACATTTATTTTTAATACACTATTTTGAGTACATATGAATATGTCTGAGAACATATGAGGAAGACTGAGGTTATTTTGAGGCTGAGGGAATTGAATAAGAAAGTAAAAACATTTAAATAATAATAAAATCCGTTTAGGGAAAATCGACGAAAGACATCATTTTGGTTAGATCGATATATATATGATGCAGGGTGGATGGATAGAAAAAGAACGTGGCGGTGACAAAAGATGGTCAATTGATTTGCAGCACATTATTAATTTAATTTATGTTTGGTAATATTATATGTATGATGACTTATTACCCTCCATAAAAGTAACTTATTTGTGTGATGGTATAATGGTATAAAATTTTGAGGATTGTTGACAAACTTAAATTTTACGTTAAAGTGAGGAATCAACAAACAAACATGAAAGCATTAAAAAAAAGTTGAAAGGAAAGGTATGAACTTTTTTATAACGTCTTTCTCTTTGAATTTTTGATGTTCATAATTTAATTAATTGAATTGTCCTGCCT